AATAAAAAGTATTTAATGTCTGTCAGATATTTACAGCAAGTTTAAAGTGTTTATATAAACTCAGCAGTGACAGAATTTCACAGTCAGCTTGTAAAGTGACTGCATCACTTCACTGTGTTGCAGCGCCCTCTACAGGGAAGAAACTGAAAATTAAAGATCAACTTTAAGTTCTTACCATCAGCACAAAAGTTAGTGTTTTTCAGTGATTCCATATAAAATGTTACAAACAAAAGAAAATGACAAACATAAAAGAGACAAAAGACTTAAATTAGTGCACAAGTTAAAATATATGAATAAAACAAAATACATATAAGACAGAATACTTTAGTGAACAGTAGTGATTAAATGAATTTACTGTATATATACAATAATAATGTAGGAAATGTATGAGCTTAAATGAATATACACATTGTCAAGCAGTTCTAGTTGATGTTGCTGAGAGCTGCTTGCCACAGTTTTGTACATCGCACTGACCAGAATATATTAACCATCTCACATGAGTTTCTGAGGATTTGCTCACATGAATCCAGTACTTCTCAAATAGTGGGGGGGCAGTGAGGTGTCTCAACAGTGAGAGGCAGGGGGACTGACGGAGGAGGAGAGATGGAGAAGTTTCTGACAGGAGTGAAAAGAAAAACGGAGGAGACGTCAGAGGAAAGAACAGCAAGTGACGGTAACCGGCATAAACCTAATAAGAGCAGGAAATACGATGAAGCCTACACAGCCTTTGGGTTTACCGTGAATACGGTCGGAAATGAGGAAAGACCTGTGTGTGTTTAATGCCTAAAAACTCTGACAGCGGACAGCATGAAAGCAAACACCTGGAGACCTTACACCCCAGTTATGTCAATAAGCCACTGGACTTTTTTCATAGAAAACTCGATGAGTATCTCCAACAGGCATCAGTAAATAAAAAAGCACCGTTAGCCTCGTACAAACACCGCCACATCGCAAGGGGCCAAAAAGCTCACAGGATAGCAGAGGAGCTAATACTCCGGCAGCATTGGACATGGTCACAATCATAGGTGAGAAAAGTGCTGAGACACTGAAACCTGTCCCTCTGTCCAATGACACGATCGGGAGACGTTTATTTGACATTTCACACGACCTCCAAGAACAACTCACAGAACATCTAACAGACAAACATTAAATAGAAACAATATTGTTGCACAAAAAAAACAAACATTAAAAAGTCATCTACCTTTTTGAAAAGGAATAAGCTGATGAAGCTGACAAGTGACCAATGTTTACAGTTTAAAACAGTTTTGAATGTTACCAAGTTAAGTCCAAATGTTCCAGCGGTATGAAGAACTTCGGGCTTGTCTGTGTGTATATATATATTATTAAATGACTTTGTGAAAGCCACTTCCCTTCCCTTTCTACATATGGACCACCAGGACTCAATGCGCTGGTTAATCGTGGATGAGCCATACATGTGGCTGCACGCTCCAGAGTGGTAGTCATGGTGATGGCTTTCTGCGGTACAACCCTGTGTTTACTTTTTAGAGTCCGCAAGCTGATGTTTATATTGTGTAAACTTGACAGCATGTCCATGATTGCATCGTACGAGTGTCCCTCATTCAAATATTGTGTGCAATAATGCAGCATGTCTGGTCCTTCCGTCTGCTCCGTATCCTTTAAAGACTCCAGAGACCGTCCACACCAAACACAAAACCCTATCAGCCACCGTAGTGTTGCCATATGGTAACAATGACTGTTTCTCACTTTTACTCACCGGTACTTTAGTTTTATTGTGAAAAGAGGCTCTTTTACTTTGAAAGTATAAATACACATCACATCATGTGACCATGAAATCCTGAAATGCGAGTTAATGGAAAGGAAAGACTCGGCTACTCGCTCAATATCTAACATCCCTGTCAAAGATACAGTAACATATTTAGGAATCTCCATCACTAAAGATCAGAAAGCTAGAAATGCTTTAAATTTTACCCCGGTTGTAGAAAAAGCTCAAAAAAGATTTAATCTTTGGCTCCTAAGAGATCTATCTTTAAGAGGTAGAACGTTAATAACAAAAGCAGAAGGAATATCTAGACTTACTTACGCTGCCTTCTCATTACATGTTGACAATAAAACCATCAAATGCATAGATCAGATGATGTTTACATTTTTATGGAAAAATAAAACGCATTACATAATAAAAATCTGTCGTCATAAACACATGTGAGAATGGGGGTCTAATTTTTGGGGTTTTGATTCTTTGAACAACACCTTCAAGATTAACTGGATCAAACAATTCCTGAAAAAAACAGACTCAAGATGGAATTGTATCTTGGTTGGTTTCTTTTATAGAAACTTTTTCCAACTTTCATAAACAAGTATGGATTGCATGGTCGATGATATACAAACACAATTATTCACCGCGCCGTTATTCTATATGGAACAACAAAGATATACTCTACAAGAACAGATCCATATTCTTTGGGGAATGGTTTAACAATTATATTATTTGGGTAAGACAACTATTCAACAACAATGGTGTTTTATTTTCTTATCAGGAGGTTCTTCAACACTATAGGATACCTATAACTCCTAAACAGTATGCTATAGTCTTCAATGCTATTCCATCTGGTGTACTCATGTTATTCAAGAGTAATATGTCTGTTTCTGTGCTTTATGTTCCTTTTACTGATGTAACTGACTCACCAGTTGGTAACGTATGCTTGAACCCATCTGGCTGTAAGAACCGATCCTTGCTCTTTTCCAATGTAATATTGTTTCTGTTCCACCTGGAATATCTTACTGGAATAGTCGTGTAAACAACCTGGGAAAAAATCTGGTCCCTGCCTCAAAAATTCTTTGTGGTTCATAAGGTGAAAGAAGTGTCATTTAAAATTATTCAACGATGTTACCCGGTTAGATCCTTCTTTATCAAATTCAAATATGTTGATCTAGATCTAAATTGTGCCTTTTGTGACTCCCATACTGAGACTGTTATCCATCTGTTTTGGAAATGTAAATATACCCGTAAACTGTGGCAAGATATTTGTAGATTTATTTTAGATAATATTATTCTTATTTAATTAATCTCATTATAATTCTTGCAAAGTTTTACATCCACAAATGTAAATTTACCAAAGTGAAACCTCTTTTTGTGTTTTTATGAAAGAACTGAAGTTCTAATTCAAGTCAATATCTTCTGCTAAGAACAAGAAAGCTATCAAAACTGTGAGACTGTGCTCCCACTTCGATATCTTTAATTCAATTACATTTTTCTTTGCTCGTGACCCCTGGCATGTTTTTATTTCTTTTTATTTGTGTATTTATTTTCTGTATCATTTATTTGTTTTTCAATTATTGTTATTGTAATGTTTACCCTGTTGTTTCTATCATTTTCTAGAGTTTAGTTTCTGCACGGCTACTTTGTATGTTTTGGAAATAAATGATAAATAAAGTGTAAACACTGAGAATATATGAGGGCCCCAAATGTTAACCAACTGTTCAATATTTCTGCAAAATTCCTTCAGGAAAAAAATTCAAATACTATCTGAGGAATGTTAAGTTTTAATTCTCATCATTACAAATCAGTTTAGATGTGGTTGGCTTAATACAACAGTTTTAATGTCAGGTCTAAGTAGGGGATTTTTTTAATATCATCAACATTAATATCAAGTTCAGCTGTGAAACAGGAAGCTTTGACATTTTATTTTCTCCTCATATTTCCCATGAAGGAGTTTTTAATGTTGGTAAACTGCTGCAGCTGGATTAGATTCAGTGTTGAAGTAGGAAACTGCTGTTTTCTGTTTACAATGTTTTAATTGCAGTTCTGTTATTTGGCCACAAGAGGGCGCTGTTGACCACATTATAATTATGAGGTCAACAGCGCCCTCTTGTGGTCAGTGATTGAGTTGCAGTGTATTACCAGCGACTGTAACATAGATAACACTGATTTATTTAATGTATAAACCAGAATGTTTAGGTTTAATCTGTAATTTAATGTTTGAAAACTATTAATATTTTATTAAGTTCATTCTCATTTATGTGTGTCTCATTTTTTTTATGTTTGTGATTTTCTTTTTACACATTTTGTATGTGAAATGTTGAATGTAGAACACAGAATATCATTGTCAAATACTGCATTACTGTAATTTTTGTACATTAAGAACTTAAACTTGAAGTTGATGATCGTGCTACATGAATTACACTGAAACTGTTTTACAGAGGTTGATTAAACTTTATTTTAGAGGTTGAGTTAGTGGTGCTGTTGGATTGTAATGTGTTATATAACGTTATATATACGTATATTCATTGTGAATGAGTCTTATAGTTTCTTTTACTATTAAAACATATCAAACTACTTATTTTAATTACATCTGTCAAACCCAGGAGACGTTCATCATGTTAAACAGCTGATCTTTGTGAGCACCACACACACACACACGCACACACACACACACACACGCACACACACACACACACACACACACACATACACACATACCTACACACAGGTGATCCAGGTTCATGAGAAGAGGGAGGAAACTCTGAAAGTGAAAGTGTTCAGTTGGTTCAGTCTCCATTCTGAGTCCACAGAGCAGAAGGAGGGAAACTGAAGGTTGAGGCAGGGTGAGTGTTAATACAACATTATTATTATTTTACTGTCAAAGTCTCTGAGTCAGTTTTCTTCCTGTGGACTGTAGAGGACAGAAATGTTAGAATGAACTCAACAGTTCATCTGTGGATACAAAGTTGTGATTGACTGAATAATACAGATTAAAGCTACTGTAACCCAAGAAAACAAGTACAGGGTTAAAGAAAGTGACCAGGTGGAGTTCTATATTATACTGTATACTCTATATACTCTATATACTATACAGAGTACTGTGTGTGTGTGTGTGTGTGTGTGTGTGTGTGTGTGTGTGTGTGTGTGTGTGTGTGTGTGTGTGTTACTTCTTGTTCTCTCAACCTTGTATGTGACAAACAGACAAACCTGTTTTTCCTGATTCTTCTGTTTTGAGTCAGTGTTAATATTTATCTCTCAGACTGACTGAAGTCCAGAAGATGAGTGTTTGTGTGGAGGAAGAGGAGGACAGAGCAGAGTCTCCAGTGTCCAGCTGTCTGTCTATGAAGAGTGATCGGTCCAAACATAATCCTCTGAACTTCAGTAATGAACCTGGACCCTCAGACACAAAGTAAGAAACTGTTTTTACTGTAAACTGACCTGATAGAAGATGATTCATTGAGCATGAAGACAAAATAGATTTATTTTCTTGATACAGAACTATTAGTGCAGACATTAGAGTTTATATTTCATATATAATATAATAATATTCATATATTTTTGCTCTGATGTTGAAGTCGCTGTAAATATTTGTAACTATTATCTGAAAGAATCTGTTTCTAATGTGTAATTAAATATATTGTCTCTAAAGATGAAGAAACAAACATCCATTTATTTATGTAAAAAAAACAGGGACAGAAAATGTCAAATGTAGATTTGGAGACTTCTTTTTTAAGAATATTTGAACTGGATATATTCCTTCATTTGATAGTTGACAATATAGAGTGACAGGAAACATAAAAGGAATGGAAAACAAACAAAGAAACAGTTTGTAGTTGAACCTGTGACACCACTGTTACGTGCTATGTGTCTTACAGTAAACTGCTGGTCTATCATAATTATTTAGAGCACTTCTAACCTCAGTTTAAACTAACACAAGCTAATCTGTCCAAAGTGACTGTAGAACAGTGAAGGACATAATCAGCTCTCTTTAATGGAAGGCTTTTATTGTGAAGCAGCTGCAGGAAGTGTTGAGTTTGTATTAATAACAAACTACAGGCAGATCAATAAATGTTTAATAAGACAGACGGATAGGAAAAGCACTCAGTGTTTATGAAAGCAGGAGAGTTGAAATAAAAGGAATCATTTTCATTACAGACTGAATGCTGAATTCAAACAGAAAAGTTAACAACACTTTTAATGTTCTCTGTGACCATCTGAGCTTCCAGACAGTGTCGGACAAATCTCAGTATTTTTCATCAACAATCAACAAATCATTTTAGTAATAAAGAAATGTCTTCACAGAGAGAAGAAGAGGAGTCATGTTTCTGTGGAGGAGCAGCTGTCCTGCTGTGTTTTGTGTCAGGACGTCCTGAAGGATCCAGTCTCTACCAGCTGTGGACACTGGTTCTGCAGACAGTGCATCACCTCATACTGGGACCAGTCTGCTTCATCAGGAGACTCCTCCTGTCCCCAGTGTGGAGAAAGATCCAGAACAAGAGCTGGACTGCAGACAGCCAGTCAGACCAGCACTGTACAAAGTAAGACTGTACATCTTAAACATCTAATCTGCTACATTTCATTACATTAAGTTTATTTAGAGACTTACAATAAGGTTATTCAACCATGTGGATACAACTCAGAAATGATAAGAATCATGTAACTACATCAACTTCATCAAATATGCTGAACATCTTCAAGTGCTACATTTAGTTTTAGAGTTTTCAGGCCATTGGCAGCACAGTAGGAGAGTACCATTAACTAGAAAATAGATTTGATCAGCCACCAGTAGCCAGTGCAGGGTGTGAAGGAGCAGTGTAGTGTGGGAGAACTTCAGTAGGTTGAAGACCAGCTGAGCTGCTGCATTCTGGATGAGCTGCAGAGGTCAGATGGCACATGCAGGCAGACAGGAGTGAGTTGCAGTAGTTTAGACACAAGATCACAAGATCCTCCTGGGTGAGGAACAGGCTCTGAGCTAAAATTATCACTCAGAAACAGTGTGTAATAATGTACATAACCACACAGTGACACTAAAATCCTTCAGCAAATTGTGCTAACTTACATGTGGCACAGAGGTTTTTGTGGCATGAATGAAAATCTGGTTCCCGGCGTCACAGCTTCAAAAAAACACACCTACATGAGTGACTGATATTTATCTTTTGTTTGGTAATGAAATAATCAGCAGATTGTCAAATCTTTATTTCTTTTTCCATTTTTTAGTGAGTGGTGGTCTGCAGGAGGTTTTAGATGAACATAAGATCAGTCTGAAGACGAGATGTAAACATGTGACTGAAGGAACTGATGAAACAGGAAGCGGAACCCTCCTCAACAGGATCTACACTGAGCTCTACATCACAGAGGGACAGAGTGAAGAGGTTAATACCCAACATGAGGTGAGGCAGCTTGAGATAGCTTCCAAGATGGAGACCCTCCATGACACTCCAATCAAGTGCCACGAGATCTTTAAAGCCTTACCTGACCAACAGAGACACATCAGAGTGGTTCTGACGAACGGCGTCGCTGGCGTTGGAAAAACCTTCTCAGTGCAGAAGTTCACTCTGGACTGGGCAGAGGACTTGGAAAACCAAGATGTCAGTCTGGTGGTTCTGCTTTCGTTCAGAGAGCTGAACCTGATTAAAGATGAGCAGTACAGTCTTCTCAGGCTGCTCCATGTTTTCCATCCAACATTACAGAAGGTCACAGCAGAGCAGCTCGCTGTCTGTAAACTTTTGTTCATCTTTGACGGCCTGGATGAAAGCAGACTTTCACTGGATTTCCACAACAATGAGGTTGTGTCTGACGTCACACAGAAGTCTTCAGTCAACGTGCTGTTGACAAACCTCATCAAAGGGAATCTGCTTCCCTCGGCTCTCGTCTGGATCACTTCCAGACCTGCAGCAGCCAATCAGATCCCTCCTGAATGTGTCGACAGGGTAACAGAAGTACGAGGCTTCACTGACGCCCAGAAGGAGGAGTACTTCAGGAGGAGAGTCAGTGATGAAGATCTGTCCAACAGGATCATCTCACACATCAAGACCTCCAAGAGCCTCCACATCATGTGTCTAATCCCAGTCTTCTGCTGGATCACTGCTACAGTTCTGGACCACATGTTGACTACAGACCAGAGAGGAGAGCTGCCCAAGACCCTGACTGACATGTACTCACACTTCCTGCTGGTTCAGACAAAGAGGAAGAAGCAGAAGTATGATGAAGGACATAAGAAGAGTCCACAGGAGCTGATGGAGGCTGACAGGGAAGTTCTTCTGAAGCTGGGGAGGCTGGCGTTTGAACAGCTGGAGAAAGGAAACATCATGTTCTACCAAGAAGACCTGGAGCAGTGTGGTCTTGATGTCACAGAGGCCTCGGTGTACTCAGGAGTTTGTACAGAAATCTTCAAAAGAGAGAGTGTGATCTTCCAGAAAAAAACAGTCTACTGCTTTGTTCATCTGAGTATTCAGGAGTTTCTGGCTGCAGTCTATGTGTTCCACTGTTACACCAACAGGAACACCAAAGTACTGGAGGACTTCCTGGGGGAAGACTACAGCAGGGACTCAAAACCAAAGACTATTTTCCAGAAGATTTTGAAGTTTTTTCGAAATAATGATAGCCTTGACCGTCATGATGACCTTCATCAGACATATCTGAATGTCTTCCTGAGAGATTCCATGGAGAAATCCCTCAAAAGTAAAAATGGCCACCTGGACCTGTTTGTTCGCTTCCTTCATGGCCTCTCTCTGGAGTCCAACCAGAGACTCTTAGGAGGCTTGCTGGGTCAGACAGACAACAATCCAGAAATCATCCAGAGAGCCATCAACAATCTGAAGGAGATGAACAGTGATGATATCTCTCCTGACAGAAGCATCAACATCTTCCACTGTCTGATGGAGATGAACGACCACTCAGTCCATCAGGAGATCCAAGAGTTCCTGAAGTCAGAGAACAGATCAGAGAAGGAACTCTCTGAGATCCACTGCTCAGCTCTGGCCTACATGCTGCAGATGTCAGAGGAGGTTCTGGATGAGTTGGACCTGAAGAAGTACAATACATCAGTGAAGGGACGACTGAGACTGATTCCAGCTGTGAGGAACTGCAGAAAGGCTCTGTAAGTCCAGATGTGATTAACATTATAAATCAATGTAAAGTTGAAGCCATCAGTATTAGAGTAAAGATTATATTGTTTAGTTTTTAACAAAGAATGTCTTTTCACATGTTTTTTCATTCTAAATAATTTTGATTTATAAACCAGTTTACAGACGAGTCCATTCAAATACCACCAGAGAGAGAGAGGGAAAAGGAGAGAGCTTCTTTACTAATGAAGGTTCATTTCGTGTAGCAGAGCCTTTCCAGTGAGCCATGATGCACAGTAGCAGCACCCTGACTGTGTTTGACCTGAATGTAACAGAAACTTTATTAGTGTCATTGGTAACACCTGTGTTTACCCTCCTGTTTCATATCAAAATGGCTCCTGTTAATGCAAAAGGAGTCATTAAATTAATTTAATGGGAGACTAAAAGCAGCTGGAGCAACATAATAAGATTCATCTGGGGCTGCACTAGTGAGATTTTCACAGTACAATAACCCTCTCAGAATCACAGTTTAAAGGTTTACAGTATTACACAATTATTAATTATCAGTTACAGTAATGAAAACAGAAGGATGTGTTCTTTTTGTTTGTATGTTTTTTGGTTGAATACTTTATTATAATTTCACAAAATATAATGTACTATATATTTTTAATAACACAAATACAACAGAATTCAATACCATAGATAAACAAATGTTCATAGTATGATTTCATACCACAGTATAACATGGTATTGGTATACAGCTGCAACCCTAGATTGATAAAAGATGCACAAAATACAAACAAGAAGCACATGACTGAGGTAAATACATATGAGTGCAGTTACAACCTATAGTGATTATACAGCTCATTGAACATCATGTGAAAATAAAGTTTAACAAACACAAATGCACAAAAGTCTTAAATTTATATTCTGTAATCACAGACTTTACTCATGTAGACTCTCAGAGACTCACTGTGAAGTTGTGGCCTCAGCTCTGAAGTCCAACCCCTCCCATCTGAGAGATCTGAACCTGAGTAACAACGAGCTACAGGATTCAGTAGTGAAGCTGTTGTGTGCTGGACTGGAGAGTAAAAACTGGAGACTGGAGACTCTGAGGTCAGTTCATGTATTTTGCTCTTGTACAGTGTATATCCGATCTGTCTAATCTAATCTAATTTGCCTCCGATCCCCAGTAAAAACACTGCACACACTGCACACACACACACACACACACACACACACACACACACACACACAGCGACAGAGACACAGAGGAGAGAGTTGATGTAAAAGGTTGTAAAAGATGTAAAAGATTATAATTCAAGTTGAATACAAATGTAATAGTTCACAGTCTGGTGACTTTGACCCACACTGAGCAAAGCATAATAAAATATGACCAAGACCTCAATTTAAAATGAAGAACATATTCTGAGTTACAGAGAAATTTGGACGTTATTAACAATTAACACAGTTTTGTGTTTTGTTATTCAAATATAGACCAAATTTGTTAAGTGTTATTAAGGGAGAATGACTATTGTGGTGGTACAACAACCTTATAAGGCCCATACTGAGCTTCCTTACTACGGTAACTATCATTGAGCAGTAATTAGGAGGTTATTGAGGAAAGAGTCTCAGTTCATGGCTTGGTAGTGTTAGAATATAGTCATGCAGTATAAGGCATTAAAACATGCTTAATAATGACTAATAAAGAGTTAATATGCTGCTAATATGCATGCACAAACACACTGTAAAACACACACACAAGCAGCAAGCATATTTCTGAATGCAGGTGTTTGAAGTATTGTGTGTGACTTTGTGTTCTGACTCAACCAGTAAGCAGGAGCATAAATAATACACTGTATTTGTACAGGAAGGTGCTTGGTTACATTTAAGATTAAGAGAGAATATGCAGCTCTCTATGCTCAGTGCACATTTGATCCAGTTATAAAGAAGATTGAGGATGAAGCTCACAGTCAGTGTGTGTTGATGGAGATGACAGTGGTGATGAGGATAGTCTAAATGTGTGAGATACATCAGAACTGCTGGTTTAAAGAGGTTTGTTTTTACTTAAATTATTATTTCTGTCATAAATTCTTATTTATTAGGGACTGAGCCAGCGACTGCTGGAGGTCCCTATTGTATTTGCTATGTTTCTTCTTCTTACCTATTATTTTTAGTGCCTTTGACTGCGTTTTTGCCCCCCTGAACATTATACGGAAACGCAAATTTTATTTTTATTTATTTGGCAAAGTTGTCAGGCCTGGTGAAAAATTGGATATTCTTTGTGTCGCTCTAGGGTTGGCCACTGGGTGGCGCTCTTTAAAATTAAGAAGTTTATATCTCCGCATCAGCACGTGTGATTAAAATGAAACTTGGTACGATGCTTGCCCATGGCTCCCTGAGGCTCACTAATAAATGTGTCAACAATCCGCCACTAGGTGGCAGTCTGGTGGCATGGTAAATCACTGTGCGGAGACCGTAATAGTTAAAAATCTTGTTTGTAGTGTTTGTGGCACCCCCTACAGGATTTTAAAAAACTAGCCCCGGCGCCACATTTCACCGATATGTATGAAACTCGGTAGGCACGTGTAACCTCCATGGCTTTCCGTCAAAGTTGGCCATTTTGAATTCCATGCTCATTTTCTGTGATTTTTCGTGTTGTATTTGAACAAACTCCTTCTAGAGAATTCATCAGATCTACTTCAAAACTGGTCAGTACAGTCAAAACATATTGCTGATTAAGAGTTGTGACTGTACATTGAACGGCGTGGCGTCAAAGTTGGCCAGGTTGAATCGAATGTCAAACTGTGATGCCATTTCCGGCATTTTGCAGTGATTTTCAGTGTTTTTTTGTGTTGTATTTGAACAAACTCCTCCTAGAGAATTTATCGGATCTGCTTCAAAATTAGTCAGTACAGTCAACATATGTTGTTTATTAAAAGTTTTGCTATATGTGTATGTACGTTGAAGGACGTGTCCATGGCGTGCCGTCAAAGTTGGATTTGAATCGAATGTCAAACTGTGATGCCATTTCCGGCATTTCAGGGCTTCTATTTTAACTAACACCTCCTACAGAATTTTTCGGATTGACTTAAAATTCAATCAATGCAATCTAGACACATTGGTGATCAAAAGTTAATTAAATATTCACTGTGCGTCAAACGGTGTGTCCATGGCGCGGCGCTCACTTTCCAAGATTCGCAGTGGAGAGTCTCACTGTGAACTCTAGTCTTTTTGTCTGAAACGCATGACGACGTAGAGTGGTTTCCCTCGGCTTCCGGCGATGAGGGCTTGGGCGTGGGGCAACGTTGTGTGGCGCGGCTGCGGCGGGAAACCACTGTGCAGGCCCCGACGTGGGGAGATGGTAAGGTCCCGCCCAATGGTGCTTGCAGCTTTAATTTGATATTGGCCTTTTTGGAATTCTGTATTTTGATTTTAATCATTATTATAGACCTGACTGACAGCATGTTATTGAACTCTCTGTTGACATTTGACATTTTTTTGACACAAAAAACACATTTATTCTTATTCAGATTGAGTTGCTGCAGTTTGTCAGAGGTCAGCTGTGATTATCTGGTCTCAGCTCTGAAGTCCAACCCCTCCCATCTGAGAGAGCTGGACCTGAGTTTCAACAATCTGCAGGAATCAGGAGTGAAGCTGCTGTGTGGTTTTCTGGAGAATCCACACAGTAGACTGGGGACTCTGAGGTCTCTGTCCCCCCCCACCCCCCCCCCACACACACACACACACAAATACACACACAGATTATGACTCCACTATTCCTAAAATAATGATTGTAGATGTCTTTTGTTCACATTTTCTAAACTTGTACATTCTAAACCTTCTTTAGCTCTGAACAGATTATTAAACACTGAATGATTTCAAGCAGGAACATTGTCTTCTAAACCTACATCATTCATCATTTATTCTTTATTCAGATTGTTGGGCTGCAGTTTGTCAGAGATCAGCTGTGATTATCTGGTCTCAGCTCTGAAGTCCAACCCCTCCCATCTGAGAGAGCTGAACCTGAGTTACAACAAGCTGCAGGATTCAGGAGTGAAGCTGCTGTGTGGTTTTCTGGAGAGTCCACACTGTAGACTGGAGACTCTGGGGTCAGACACCATTTTTTCCTTCTGTGCTGAGATTAATATGATGTGAAAGTTGTGCTGACAGTAAAGTGCAGACATAAGGCGGATATTATACTGATCCACACTGAGTATCTTAATGTTAAAGTCTGTTTTCTTCTTCAAGCATCAATTCTTTCCAAGCATGATATTTTGTACTCTTCCATTGAAATACACAAATATCTTGTCATTCTTTGTCTGTTATTGTCAGGTCTCCTTCCTTCTCCCATCTATCCTTTATATATTTTGTTGAATGAGCTTTTAGATTGTGGAGGCTCTTATACAGTTGAGAAATGACCCCTCTTTTAATATCTGACTTATATGCATTTATGGGAAGTTGCATAAAGGGCTTACTGGCTTCTCTGGTATTTTTCTTTTTGATTAAAGTAATTTATTAATTGGAGATATCTTTAGAAATCCTTTTTTTCCAATGAAAAATGATCTCTTAATGTTTGAAAACACATAATTTCATCTTTCTGTATAATGCTGCATAGAGATATTATACCTTTGTTTATCCAAACTTTGAATCTATCATTGAGTTTATTTAGTGTGAGATCTGAATCATATGCACACCAACTCAGGATTTTAATATCTTCTTTCAATGTATGTTCTTTTATCACTGCTCTCCAAACCCTGAGAGCTGATGCTCTAATCTGTGCTGAGATATAATAATGTTTCTGTGATGGTAAACCCCAGCCTCCTCTTTCTTTCAGTAGCTGTAATGTTTTATATCGTACTCGAGGTATTTTTCCTGCCATATAAATCTCAATATCATTAAACACTGAATGATTTCAAGCAGGAACATTGTCTTCTAAACTTATATCATTTATTCTTCATTCAGATTGAGTGGCTGCAGTTTGTCAGAGATCAGCTGTGATTATCTGGTCTCAGCTCTGAAGTCCAACCCCTCCCATCTGAGAGAGCTGAACCTGAGTAACAACAAGCTGCAGGATTCAGGAGTGAAGCTGCTGTGTGGTTTTCTGGAGAGTCCACACTGTAGACTGGAGACTCTGAGGTCAGACACCATTTTTTCCTTCTGTGCTGAGATTAATATGAGTTGAGATTAGATTAGTAGATTAATAAATTGTGGTGACAGTAAAGTGCAGACATAAGGCTGATATTATACTGATCCACACTGAGTATCTTAATGCTAAAGTCTGTTTTCTTCTTCAGTGGTTTAGTCCATTGACTGTGGCAGAGCAATGTTGAGCTCCACATTTAAAACCTGAATATAACAAGAATACTCTACACTGGATAATTCACTCTGAACCTCTTAAACTCTTGATTTTCATCTTATATTCCACATCATGTTTTTAATGTATTATAATTAAAATATGTAAATGAATATTCAAAATAATCAAACAAAGGCAATAACAAATATGTTCAGTATTTGCTGTTTCCAACATTGTTATGAAGCTATATGATGTTTATATTGACTGAATACTTTAAACTGAAGCTGCTTTGATTTTATGACTCCACTATTCCTAAAAGAAATATTGTAGATGTCTTTTGTTCACATTTTCTAAACTTGTACATTCTAAACCTTCTTCAGCTCTAAACAGATTATTAAACACTGAATGATTTCAAGCAGGAACATTGTTTTCTAAACTTACATCTTTTATTCTTCATTCAGATTGAGGAACTGCAGTTTGTCAGAGATCAGTTGTGATTATCTGGTCTCAGCTCTGAAGTCCAACCCCTCCCATCTGAGAGAGCTGGACCTGAGTCTCAACTACCTGCAGGATTCAGATGTGAAGCTGCTGTCTGATCTTGTGGAGAGTCCACACTGTAGACTGGAGACTCTGAGGTCAGTAGAGGGTTGGAGTCAGTCCATGCTGGTTTCAGCAGTATTGTACTAAACACAGTTAGTATCAAAGCAAAGATCCAATATTTGTTGCTTTCCTCAGTGAAGCTGTGAGAGGAGGATGGTGACAGACTTCAGGGTTGGAGAGAAAGACAGAGAGAGAGAGAACAGTCAGCCATTCAGAGAGCCAGAAGCTTGTTGTGATCATGTGTTTGAGTTGATGTGAAGACGACTGTTGTTGTTGTGTTCATGTCTACAGGAAATAAAGCTGGATTCCAGCTGACAGCGTTACAAGATGTACAGAGTGGGAATGTGACTGAGACTGTGGTTTTGATCAGCTTTGAACGCAAACAGCAGTAAATCCATCATTACAGTGGGCAGTGAATGTCTCTCTGTTTCTGCAGTAATGATGCGTTCAGGGACTCTCAGCACTTTATTTCCACTGTGTACTTCAGTGAAATCTGCAGAGTCAACAGACTTGATGTCCAAACTGTCTGCAGGTCTGTGAGCCTCAGCTCAGAAAGGAAGCAGGCTACGCTACGCAGCCGCTCACCTTCTGGTCTGAACTGGACTGAAGTCCCTGCTGGTCTTTATACTGGATGTGCTGATGGAGGGAGTCTCTGTAAACACTGATTTATGACTTCTGTTGTCTGTCTTCTTCTCTCATCAGATGGAGGTCTATCAGTGAGTGATCAGTTGTGTTGGAGGATCTGCTGTGTCCTGATGATCCAGAGAGGTTGAAGCAGCAGCATCAGCTCTGACTGGGCCATGTTACTGGGAGGTAGAGTGGAGAGGAGACCTTCATCCAGCAGTGACTGACAGAGGAATCACAACCAGTGGAGATGACTCTCAGTGCTGCAGTCTGAACTGCTCTGAGATCAGCTCCACTGTCAGACACAATGTCAAGTCCACCATCATCCCTGTGTGTTCCTCTGGATGTGACAGAGTATCATCAGTGTATCTGGACTGCTCTGCTGCTGCTCTGTCCTTCTACACAGTCTCTGCAGACACACTGAGACTCCTCCACTCCTTCTGCTCCACACTCAACCACCTCCTCCCCCTCCAACCTGGACTATTGTATATTCTTATATTAACTGCTTCTACACATTTGTTCTGTTTATGACAACGTAACTGTAGATCAACACAAGTTTTGTCTTCTGTTCTAGCTCCACCTTGTGGAAAGATGGAGAATTGCAGTCAATTTCCACATTATACTTCTAATTCATTTTGGAAGTTGATGTGATGAATCCTAAGAAAAAAATTAGGTACAAAAGATCTTGCTGATTTATCTGTGTGCCCATTTTCTGTTCATCTGTCAATGTGCAGTCACTCCGAGCATCCTCCCAAGCGCTCAATGGATGTGATAAAGTAGTCTACTGTTACTGTTGGGTTTTTTGTTCTATCCACACAACATAGTGACTAAAATCATCAGTACCACCATTGATGGCTATGCATGGCTTCTGCTTATCATACAAATCCATATGCCATAGCGCTTTGGTAGCTTTGTTGTGGGAATGCCTGTGAATCAGACACCATTCCTGTCTGTGTGTAGGGCACCAAATGGGGAGGGGTCACCACCAAAACAGTCTGATCATTAATCGTAATAATCATAATGTTATACACAGGACGCAGCGCCTGGTGTTATCAAGTCCTACTGTCATTTATGATCGTGTATCTCTGTCCTCTCCTCTGTAGGACAGCCAGCAGGACTCACAGGCTGCATCCCAAGTCTCTTCGACTTAAAAGTTCAACTTTAATCTTGAAATGGCAATTTTATTCTCAATATTTAGATTTTATTCTCAATATTTAGATTTTATTCTCAATATTTTGATTTTAGTATCAATATTTTGACTTAATCTTCCACTTTTGTTTTTACTCGTGTGGCCCTCATACTCTTTTGTAAATACCAGACTTTTCTCATAGTTTAACAGATAATTGTTTGTAACAAGAAGATAAAACCTGTAGAAAGTTTGGATTTAATCGAAGTTTATATATATATATATCTTTTAAAATAGTTTATTTTTCTAGTACATCCAAACAGATTGTGTTATTGTAGTAATTGGTGATATTTATCTATTTTGATTTTGTTATTTGGTCCATTGTGGATTTAAAAATATTGATTAGAGTTACTTAAAGTTACTGAAATATCTGGTCAGTGCTGTGTTGAACATTGGTCACACATTGAACACCAGAACATTTGTTCATAAGTTTTTTCTTTTAACATGAAATTAATCAGCAAACATGTTTATAATTTATATAATGTGTCATTATTCGTGATTATGATCATGTACATGTATATATTTGTTCTGTTTTCTCATATTGCATCAAAAACACACATCTGTATATTAAAATCACATCTTACTTCTGATTGATTGACCTGAACAAAGTGTGGATTCAATCAAAGCTTTACTGTAGTTTCTCAGTTTGCAGTCGGCTGTTTACGTCTTCATTAGACTCTGAGCATAAAACAAAGGTGGAAAGCCATCTGACTCTGACTCCCACACTGAGAAAGATCATGTTTTATTCACACAATTAAAGTGAATCAGTTTCCAACAAGTGCTCGTCCAGTCTGTTGTAACACAGAAGAATTCAACTTTAGAGACTTAAAGGCAAATTCCATACATGAACAATAAAAAGGAAGCCCCAGAGTTAAACTGAAAACAGGATTAGAAGCTGCTGTCACTCTCAAACTGATTCTCTCGTCTTAATACAGGAATTCATGTTCAGTAATAACTCAGTTTGAGTTGTCCAACTTCTCTGATGACGTCCTCAGTAACAGGAGAAGATGGTGATGATGGAGCTGCAGCTGATTCACTCTGTGGCTCTCAGACTAAAGGCTACTTCACTTATCAACAAGCTAACTACTATAATAGGATCTGTTGGCAGAAATAATATGTGTAATATGTGCCTAACTCATTAGTGTATAATAGTGCCTTAAGTATAATTCATGTGTGCATCAAATTCTGTTTTCAATTCAGTCTCAATACTCAAAATAAGACTTCAACACTCTTTAAACTTTGAGAAAAAATGATTTTTTCTCCTTTTTGATTTGCAGAAATCCTCTTTATTTTGAAAAATCAAGAAGTTTGCAGAAGCAGAATTTACTCGTGCAAGTTATAGGAAGATATTAAAGGATCAGGTGAATATAAAGTATTTAATGTCTGTCAGATATTTACAGCAAGTTTAAAGTGTTTATATAAACTCAGCAGTGACAGAATTTCACAGTCAGCTTGTAAAGTGACTGCATCACTTCACTGTGTTGCAGCGCCCTCTACAGGGAAGAAACTGAAAATTAAAGATCAACTTTAAGTTCTCACCATCAGCACAAAAGTTAGTGTTTTTCAGTGATTCCATATAAAATGTTTAAAAAGAAAATTACAAACATTAAAGAGACAAAAGGCTTAAATTAGTGCACAAGTTAAAATATATGAATAAAACAAAAAACATATAAAACAGAATACTTTAGTGAACAGTAGTGATTAAATTAACCTACTGTATATATACAATAATAATGTAGGAACTGTATGAGCTTAAATTAATATACACATTGTCAAGCAGTTGATGTTGCTGAGAGCTGCTTGCCACAGTTTCACATGAGTTTCTGAGGATTTGCTCACATTAATCCAATACAGTCACATTGAGAGCAGCACAGGTTGTTGGGGATCTTGGAGGTAGTTGCTATCATACATGTCTTCTTCTTTCCTGCAAACAAAACTGAACACAAGTTATTGGTAAAATACATCCAAGTGGAACTCAACACAAACTTTTATATTTAGAAAAACGTTTCATGTTCAAACCACTGAGCCAGTTTATTTTTGGATGAGTTTTGCATTATTTTACACTCTGCTTGTGGGTTTATTTGAGTTACTATTAGTTAATTGAATTAATTACAGCCTTCCGTGCACTGTAAAATGATTCAGGTGCTTCTGTATTCAGTATGTAAGATATACTTACCACAAGGAGTTTTCTCATAGTACCATTTCTGGTCTTGTTCCTCTCTGTGTCAAACACACATCATCATCAGTGCAAACAACGTACACATTAAATAAATCCCAACTGAAGGCAGAATGTGTTTTTCCTACCCTTTTAGATTTGCAGTACAGTATAAGTCCTGTTAGCAATACAACCACAATGACTCCAACCACCACAGCTACAATAATGCCTGTAACACCAGTCCGACTCACTGAAACAGAGAGAGACAGTTCAGTTAAATGAACTTGAACCAACCAACTCAGACCACAAGATACTGACTGATAACTACTGTAGCATTGTTCACGTGTCTATCTCTCAGAATCTACAGTTTCCTCACCCTCAGCTGTTAGATCCTCCTGATGTTAAGCAATCCTACATTCAGCTACTTCAACTTTGCAGCCAACCACCTGTTAACACTCCACCAAACATCCCAACACCCAAGCAACCCTCGGGCAATGCCTTAACAGAGACCTACGGCACTCTAGCAACCACCTACTTACATCTACTGGAATAGTGTGAGGGTCCCTCTGTGTGCTTTGTACTGCTTGTGGAGGTGGCTCTGGTTTACACTCAGCTTCAGGAGAGAGAGAGAGAGGTGTGGGGACGGCTTGTGAGAGCAGCACCAGGTGAGTTGGCAGTTGATTCTGTGTGGAGGGCTGCAGACCTGCCGGAGGTTAATCAGCAGTATGTTGCACACCTGGACTCGGTGTGCCCCGTGGATATAAGCCAGAGCAGCAGCCAGTCCTTTAGCAGCTCTCCTCTCCCTCCACACACCTTTTGTTTGGTATCTTTTGTTTCCTTTTCTTTGGTTTTATAACATCCACTCCCCACACTACTGGCCTTACAGAGTCCTCTCACCTATGTATTTGGATAGTTTTGTTGTAAATAAATGACTTCTTTTGACCCAGTCTAAGAGCTGAAACTGGTTGAAACTGTGCCCGAATATCAGACCTGAGATATGCTGATAGTTTGAATGGCAGCTTTCACTCAGACAGACTTGCTCTTACCTTTCTCTATTCTCAGAAAGGTGT